CCACTTCGTTTCTCCTGCTGAACTACCGCCGCCCGTGCCCTCCCCTCCTCCCTCCGCTGTCTCAGTTTCTCACCTCCTTCTCCATCAATCCCTCACTCCCCGCTCCTCCCCCACCCCAATCCTCCCACGCGCCCACCAGGCGGACAGCTTGCGGCAGCAGACGCTCCAGCAGATGCACAGGATACTGACCACACGGCAGGCAGCCAGGGGCCTCCTAGCTATGGGCGACTACTTTGCCCGCCTGCGCGCCCTCAGCTCCCTCTGGGCCGCCCGTCCCCGCGACCAGTGACGCTCCTTCTGGGCTGTTCGCCCTTGAGTGCCTTCTAGGCTTTTAGACTTACTATGACAACCAGCAGCGGGTCAGTTCAGTGCTGCATGGAAGATGGTGATTCGGGTTACAATGAGTGTGGAGAGCTGGAGTGGAGCCATGGCTGCAGGCCAGGGTACCTACATAACATTCAGCAACAGGGTTTCACTGATGTTGCACCGTCAAGAGTGGTTGCAGCTGCTGCAGATGGTCGAAATGCTCTTGACTTGACTGCTGGCCTGTCCAGGCCTCCTGTCCTTTCCCTGTGCGCTATGTATTTCTCCCAGACAAAGCAGCTTTATTGCCTGCTGCTCCTAGTTATGTGTGACATTTAGCATGTTGGTCTGGTCTGTACATAGATAGGTGAATCATTACTCAATAAAAGAGTCAATAGCAGCAGTCCGACACGCGTCTTCTGAGAGGTGTTAGTACTGTTTCATGCTTCCCATCAGGGCCTTAAGATTTGTTTTGAGGGTAAAATAAAACACACACACAAAAAAACAAGTGTTTAGGTTGTGGATTGTTGCTTCAGTGCAGCCAAACAGGACCCTTGCAATTAGAAAAGAGTTTCAAAAAAGTTAGAAGCAACCATTGTGCAAAAATTACTGCAAAGAATGATTGGGTAGCTGACGATAGTGTTTTGAAGTGTTCCCTGAGGTACATTCGCCATGTTATGAATGAACTTGTCAGAGTGCGCAGATATCGAATAACGAGAATGAGAATTACAGAATTACTGAATTACTGAATGAAGAAACAATGAAGTAGGGAGGCCTAAATAGGGGAAAAGCTAGCTAGGCGGGGGGTTCGGGATGGGATGGCTCGGTGATGGTTGCGATTGGAGCGGAGGCCGATCGGGGGTGGTTCGGTGCGACGAAATAGGCAAGACAGGTTCGTCGCGTGACCCTCGGGATTTCCTCGCTAACGAGTGCCTCGGTAAGGATTTGTAAATCCTTACACGCCACCTGGTTTCGGATGGATTGATCGGAAGGTTGACATTACATGAAGCATCACATGCATGCCGTGCCTACTCTGAGGTAACACACCAAACCAGCTGTAAGGATTTACAAATCCTTACTGAGGCACTCGTTAGCGAGGACATCCCGAGGGTCACGCGACGAACCTGTCCTTCCTATTTCGTCGCACCGAACCACTCCCGAGTCGCCTCCGCTCCAATCGCAACCATCACCGAGCCATCCTCGCCCAACCTCTCCGCCTAGCTAGGACTTCCCCTATTTAGTCGTACCTTTCTCATTGTATCGTCATTCAGTAATTCAGTAATCAGTCATTCTCTTTATTCGTTTTACTGCGCACTCTGCAAGTTCATTCATAACACCAGCTCGGCCGAAAAAAATGTGAAACCAATGTCGAATTCGCCAACATGTGAGCCACCACTACTGGCGAACAAATATCGCCTCGCCAACATCTAGGCTTGCAAAACTGACATTCCCGCAGCTCCGCTCGCTCACAATCTGCGCAGCTGGACTGGAAAGGCTTCCAGAAGGCATCGGGTCGATGTTACCGCAGCTGCGGGAGCTGAATGTGGAGTGGACCGAGTCGCTGGACACAATGCTTGCGAGCATGAGTGAGCTGCGGAGCCTCACGTCATTGGAGATAGCTGCTGATGGTGCTGATGTGAGCTCTGTGCCTGTGAGCGTCAGCTCCTTGCCTCGACTGCGGAAGCTGTGTGTGTATAGCAGCCCGAGCACAAAATTGTTTCCACCTCTATTTGCCCAGTCGCATAGCGTATGGTCCGACACTTGAAGAATGCTACCACTCTTCGTTCATCATCTGCATGATTGTCAAGTGTTTTATGTTACGGTGGTTTAAGTTGGGAGTACGGTAGTACCATATATTCATAGTTTGGCTCTTGTTCCTGCTGGTAATTTGGCGCAGCACTGTGTTGAATTGAAAGTAAGCCAAGCCCCACCCACAGGCTTGACTCCATAGACATGGCAAGGCAAGCAAATACTGTACAACATAGCATTCATGTGCTGTCTCCGCTTTGTGGAGTCTGTGTGGTGGGGAGGGAGTGTGTAAGTAACCTCCTCCCACCACTGGCCCCTAAAAACCACCTTTCATATGCAAAATTCACTGAGGTTCTGGTATGGATGCCCTGATCTGTGGTGAGGATTATGCCAGAGCACCTTAGAACTAGAATAGGCATACCGTATGGGGCACTCAAAGGTAAAAGCCCACAGATTCGTTGTTGCCAACTTGTACCGTAACAAACATTTTAAAGGTACCGCACCAGGATGCAACATATAGCATTGAATCCGTACAACAATCACATGTGCTAAACCAGACACGGCAATGTAATTTCTGAACCGATCTACGAGATGATCTCGAGCTGACCAAACTATCACATCCCACTTAAAATATCCTCCATTCACCTCGGCAGCAATACATTGCGGGACTGGACTGGATACATGGCCGCAACTCATCCCTAGCAACCCAATAAAACACACCCATCTGCCCAGAACAACCCATCCCAGCCACACAACCAACCCCCAACCATACATCCACCTACCCAGAACCACCCATTCACATCACACACCCACCCCTCCGAAACAGGAGAACTCTCTTCTCAACCAGAACCATCCATTCACACCACACACCCACCGCCCATTCCGTACCCATCCCTCTCTCCCACTCACCCACCAACCTTAGGGGTTTCAACCCAGATTCCTCTCTCCCACCCACTCACGCACTTTAGGTCACCCTCCTCTCTCAGTCACCCACCTTATGGAGGCCACATCCTCCTCTCCCACTCGCTCATCTTAGGGGAATCAGCTCCCATCCCTCCCCCCCACTCACCCATCTAAGGAGATTCAGCTCTCATTACTCTCTCCAACCCACACAAAAGGTTATGGCCCGCTTCTATTCCATTTACTGACTCTCAAAAATCAACCATTTCACCATTCTACTGATTCGCGCGAGGGGTTTCAGCCCCTTGTCTTCACCTCATCTACACAAGGGTATTCAGCCCGAATCCATGACGTGCGAAAAAAACAGATGGCACACCATGCCTATGTTACACCACGAGATGCCACACAATGCCATGCCACACCACCAGATACAACATGCCATGCCACACCACCAGATACAACATGCCATGCCATTCCTTGATACACCCACACACAGTATTATACCACATTGTATCAGTACAACTCATCATGTGCCCCCAACCAGCCAAGCATGAGCATCATGCTTCCATGCTTAAGGGTGGTATCAGTGCAACTCATCACATGCCCCCAACCAGCCAAGCATGAGCATCATGCTTCCATGCTTAAGAGTGGCATCAGTGCAACTCATCATGTGCCCCCAACCAGCCACACATGAGCATCATGCTTCCGTGCTTAAGGGTGGCATCAGTGCAACTCATCATTTGCCCCCAACCAGCCAAGCATGAGCATCATGCTTCCGTGCGTAAGGGTGGCATCAGTGCAACTCATCATGTGCCCCCAACCAGCCAAGCATGAGCATCATGCTTCCACGCTTAAGGGTGGCATCAGTGCAACTCATCACATGCCCCCAACCAGCCAAGCATGAGCATCATGCTTCCATGCTTAAGAGTGGCATCAGTGCAACTCATCATGTGCCCGCAAGCAGCCACGCATGAGCATCATGCTTCCATGCTTAAGGGTGGCATCAGTGCAACTCATCATGTGCCCCCAACCAGCCAAGCATGAGCATCATGCTTCCATGCTTAAGGGTGGCATCAGTGCAACGCATCATGTGCCCCCAACCAACCAAGCATGAGCATCATACTTCCATGCTTAAGGGTGGCATCAGTGCCATACAGCTCATCATACGCCACCGCCAACCCCACTGCCTCTCACCACCATCACCCCATCACCACCCCATCACCACCCCATCACCACCCCATCACCACCCCATCACCACCATCACCACCCAGCCCACCCATCCCCTCCCCACCTTACCTGCCAGCAGTAGGAGCAGCAGACAGCCCACTCCCCTTCGGAAACAGCACCCAAGGGGAAGTGCCTTGAAGGGCGAGGTGTGGTAGTGGAAAATTGCTTCCAGCCCAAGACTCAAATCCCACCCCTGACGTAGCTAGAGCTGACGCGAACCAGACTCGCCGGCCGGTCGACTTTGACGGTGCCCATTAAGCCTTAACGTCAGGTTAGTTACTTGAGCACCGAGTGCCGTGCCGCGCAGATTCCACCCACCACACCCCGACCCGCAAGGCACATCCCTAGAGGATGCTGCCCCTGAGAGAGTGACCTGCCCACTTGCTCCCATGCTTCCCACCGCCTCCCCACTCTCCCCTTCACCCCATGCCTCTTTCCTCTACCTACCACAGCCATGCAGAGCGCCATGTTGCCTCAGGGTGTTGGGAAGTGGGGAGGGAGGAGGAGGGGGGGGGGGGGGGGGGGGGGGGGGGGGGGGTAGTGCGATGACTCTGTCCCGCCCTTGCTCCCTCTCTCCCTCAGGCTGCATCGACCGTGCTGGAAAGTGGGGAGGGGGGCAGCGGGAGGGAGAAGGGGAGGGGGAGGTGAGGATGAAAAGAGAGATGCCTCTGTCCCGCCCTTACTCCAGTGCTCCCTCCATACTCAGGCTGCAAAGAGGGGTGGGGAGGAAGAAAGAGAGGAGGGGATCAGATCTCCATACCAAACCTGTTACCATACCTTACCTGATACCATACCACACCTCGCTCACGACTCGACCTAACCTAGCCCGCCTCTAACCCCCCACCCCCCACTGCTGCTGCTGCTGCTGCCGCTTCTGCTGCTACAACTGCTGCTGCTGGTCTGCTACTCAGCTTCTCTGCTACAGTCTTCTCTCGATGCCCAGTGGCCTGCAGGGGTGGGGGCAGAAGAATAGGGGGGAAGTAAAAGAAATTGAATAGGCTGGACTAGAGAAACCAATGAACTGAAGTTGACGAGAAAGAGAAGGCGGAACTACAGAGCAGAAATAGAGAGGGTCGAGGGCAAAAGGGGAGGCGGCGTACCTTGAGAGGCCAAGCCCAACCCGATACTCTCCCTTGTGGCAGCAACTGGCAGAGCTGCCCCCCTCCCATCCCCACAGACAGGCACCTGCACGGCCACAGGCAAGGGGGGTGGAGGCAGAGGAAAGGGGGGATGTAAAAGCAAGTGAGTTGGCTGGACCAGAGAAGGAAAAACAAAACTGAAGATGATGAAATCGAGAAGGCAAAACTGAAGAACAGAAAGAGAGAGAGAGACGAGGGCAAGAGGGCAGGTGACGTACCTTGAGGAGCCAAGCCCACCTCGATACTCTCCCTTGTGGCAGCGACTGGCAGTGCTGCCTCCCTCCCCTCCCCACGGGTACCTGCACGGCCACCGGGGAGGGGCGTGAGGGAGTGTCGGTGTTGACCCCTGCCTCTCCCCTCCACCTGCAAGGCACACACGCAGAGCTGGTCAGTGGGCAGCGAGGGGAGGAAGGGTGAGAGTGCAAGAGCGAGAAGAGAGTTTGCAAGGCGAGAGCAGGGAGGGGCCACTGGAGGAGGCCAAGCCACAAAGCATAGACCCCAAGGGGTAAACCTGAGAGCGTACCTGCACCTGAAGGGCTTACCTACACTTCAGTTCACCTGAACTGAAGGTTTACCGATGCTCCCCGGCACCACTCCCCTGTGACCGTGCAGGTTTATTGGGAATGGGAGGGAGGCAGCACTGCAGCAGAGAAGGATCGCTGCTGTGAGGGAGAGTATGGGGCTGGTCTGGTTTTGCCCTCTCAAGGTACGCCGTATCCTTCCTTGGCGTCCAAGGATGCGCCCTCTCAAGCTTCTTTCCTGCTTCATACGTCTCCATGATTCTGCTGATCTCACTTTCACCTTGATCTATCTGTGATACGTCCAGTTTGACCAGTTTGGCAACTCACCAACTTCTTCTGTTGCTCCTCGCTTTTGTGCATGCATCTCCATCCGGCACCTATTCACATCACACACTCGCGACGCAGCGGAGGAGGCAGCAGCAGCAGTGGCTCCAGCAGAAGCGGGGGGGGCAGCTGCTGTAGGGGAGAGAATGCGGATGTGGGACAGCAGCTAGGCGGTTCTTCGGGTACCAGCTACGTGACTTCTCGTGAGGCTGATCATCTCCTTCTGCTCCTGTGAGTCAAAACCCTCCCTTTCCTGTGGGTCAACGCCTCCTCTTTCATGTTCGTCAATGGTCCTGCCTTCTTGTGAGTGATTCCCTCTCATTTCTTTGAGTATACGCCCTCTCAACTCCCAATCCCTCCTGTGAGCAGCGCCCTCTCTCCTGTGAGCAGCGCCCTCTCCTTCCTGTGAGCAGCGCCCTCTCTCCTGTGAGCAGCGCCCTCTCCTTCCTGTGAGCAGCGCCCTCTCCTTCCTGTGAGCAGCGCCCTCTCCTTCCTGTGAGCAGCGCCCTCTCTCCTGTGAGCAGCGCCCTCTCCTTCCTGTGAGCAGCGCCCTCTCCTTCCTGTGAGCAGCGCCCTCTCCTTCCTGTGAGCAGCGCCCTCTCCTTCCTGTGAGCAGCGCCCTCTCCTTCCTGTGAGCAGCGCCCTCTCCTTCCTGTGAGCAGCGCCCTCTCCTTCCTGTGAGCAGCGCCCTCTCCTTCCTGTGAGCAGCGCCCTCTCCTTCCTGTGAGTCAGTGCTCTTTTTCTTGTGAATCAATGTCCGCTCCTTCCTGATAGTCAACGCCCTCTTCTCTTTGTGTGTCAATGCCCGCTCCTGTCTGTGAATCAACGCTGTCTCCTTCCTGTGAGTCAACACCCTCTTTCCTTCAGAGAGTTGTGATGTGAAGTCTACTCATATCTCAGGCCCTTCTTCTGAATCCGGTGCACCATTGGTGGTGCAGAAGTTGGTGGTGAGTGAAGCAGTGCAGGTGCGGCAAGGAGGTCTGGGTGGTGGGCTTGCTGTTGTCTCAATCATTGTGTTCATGCACCCTGCCACGCCCACCTGTGCTCCGCCCTCCCTCCCACTTGCATGCCCCCTGCCTTGTGTACAAGCAGGGATGGCAGGGAAGGCTGAAGAAGGATGACCAAGGATGACCAAGGATGGCGTATTTGTACAAATCATGGCAAGGAGCTGACAGGATTAGGCTAACTAGTACCGGTACATTATGTGTGGCGAAACTCTAGCCAGGCCATGATGCTTGGGACATTCAGTAGGGCAGGAACAACAATGTGGTACGGTACCAGGTATAGTAAAATGGGTAATGTGAGAGGTAAGGGGTGGGGAATGGTATAGGAACGGTGAAATCATTGGTGGGTGCAGTAGGGATTATGCCAGGCACAAAACAACGGGGTGGAGCTGGCAGGAGAGGAACTCACTGGAAGCAGGGAAACCCCAAAAGCTGAAAGTGAGCTGGTAACAAAGGGGAGGGCTCTAACAGCAGGGAATGATCTTGCACAGCAGGGATATCTGCTGCACACCCGCTAACACAGGATTGCACTAACAGTAGGGGGCCATGGAAAGCCAGAGACGATCTGATAGCATCACCCAACCACTGACACAAGAGAGGAGAGGTTAGTGCAGTCGCAGCAGGAAACTATTGCAAGCCAAGGCAGGAACGTTAACAGCAAGGACCCAACCACTGAAGCAGGGACACTGACAGCTGGAGGAACTCGGCCACTGGCAGAAGAGAGTGCACTATCAGCAGGAATTGCTGGTCAGTTCATTACATTTTTTTGACGGGAAGAATCCATCCACAAACAAGGAGGGCAAGGCGACTGACTGCGTACTAGCTGGAATGGTGGGCAAGCCAGGCACTCTGATCTGAGAGTTTGATTACAGAAGCATGGCAGACAATGAACTTAGCCAGCCCCCAGGACCAGACCTCATGAACTTGTCAGAGCACAGTAGGGACGCCCCTGTACCATATCATATCTAGTTTACGCTGAGACATAATCCATTCAGGAGGACAACCAGGACGTTGTGCTTTCAGTTCAGAGTGCATCAAAGCCTGAACTTCTACTGCACGCAACAGCACGCACACCACTACAGCCATCAGGGAGTGTCGAACCAGCACCTACCTAAAAGTTGTTCCATCTAGAGTATTCGTTCCCTACATATTCTCTCCTATCCACTCACTCACACATCCCCTCTGCTTTTCAGCTACCCTCATGCTTTTCCGATGTCCTCTCCTTGTGTCTCAGCTCAGTGCACACCCAGCCCGTGCTGGCGCAGAGTGGAGGCAATGACTGCCCGTGACTGCTCACACAGCTTGTCCGCATCCGTGCCTGTGATAGGTGGGTGCACCACCACCCGCACCACCCCTCCCTTGGTCCCAAGCGACCCTGACTTGGTGGCAAGTGAAGCAGTGGAGGAAGTGGAAGAGTCAGCAGGAGCAGGGAGAGCAGCGAGAGGGGGGAGGGGCGGGAGCGTGGAGGTGGCAGCGAGGGTGGATTCTAGGCCGCTGGGCATGAGGGCACCAGTGCCGATTAGGGTGATGGGGACCACTGGGACCCCTGCCTTTGCTGCTATGGAAAAGGCACCCTTCTGCAGTGGGGCAGGGAGGTGGGGAGCAGGGAAGGATGAGTGAGAGGGGGAGGGGGTGGGTGGGAGATGAGGAGGGTGGGTTTGGGATGTCAGAGGTGGTGATGAGTTGAAGAACAACGGGGAAGGGAAGTAGGAATGCATGGGACGAGGTGGGCATACGCAGAGAAGGAAGCCAGTGACTGTGATGTGATGTGACCTCAACGAGGCAAGCCATTGTGCTGAAGCATGGTAGGGAAAGCATGGTAGGTTGGGAGTGATGGTGGTGGGCAGGGAAGACATGCCTTGAAGTCTGAGAGCTTGCCGTCCTTGGTTCTGGTGCCCTCTGGGAAGAAGAGCACGGGCGTGCCCTGCTGCAGCAGCTCCAGACACTTCTTCAGACACTCCTGCTCGAGAGAAGGGGAGGAGAGGGTTGGTGTGAGGGGGATGGTTGGGGCTGTAGTTAGAGAGAGGGACGGAGGAGGACTGAGGAGATAGGGTTGCAGTGGGGGGATGAGCACCGTTGTGAGCGAAGAGAGAGTGAGCAAGAGAACGGCATGCTGCATTCCTGCCTTGTGTGAATTTGCTTCCATCCAGCCTTCTCTCTCCAGTCTGTTTCCATTCACATGTCCCTGCCTCTACCCTTCCTTGGAAACTCAGCCCTGCAACCCATCTACCCCCTTCTCCCTCTCCTCTGCCCTCTCCGCTTTCCCCTCCTCTTCACCCCCACTTCACCCCCTCTTCACCCCCCCTCCCCCTCCGTCCCCTCCCCCAGTGCACCATCTGGCTGCGCTTGTCCATGCGCTTGAGCGGCACGTGGCCAGTGAGGAACATGCTCCACCCCACGATGGGGATGAGGAAGTTGCTCGTCTTGCTGATGAACTTGAACGGCCGCCGCAGCTGGAACAGCGTGTAGATGTCCAGGAAGCTCTGGTGGTTCGCCACGTACACTGCCGGCGCGTCCGGGGGGGGGAGGTTCTCCACGCCCACTACCTCCGTGCTGCGGGGGAGCGGGGAGGAGTGGGGGGGGAAGGCGGGCGGAAAGGGAGGAGGGGGGGGGAAGGGGAGGGGAGGGGGGTGGGGATGTTGGAAAGAAAGAGCGGAAGAGGGGGAGGTGGGAAAAAGGGGGGTGGGGGGAAGACAAAGGGGGAGGTGAGACAAGAAACATGGGAGGCGCGTGAAATATCCTCCCCATCACTCTGCATTCTCCCCCTTCTCCCCTTTCTCCCTCCTCCCACTCCCCCCCCACACCCTCCCCCACTCCTTCCCCCCCTGCTCCTTCTCACACTTCCTTCACCCCCTGCTCCTCACCCCTTTCCCCCCCATTCTCCCGCCCCTCCCGCCTCACGGGTAGAAGACGGCGGTGGTGGTGTTGGCCCAGACGTTGTTGATGACGTGCTGCGCGCGGCGCTTGGTGCGGTCGAGCAACAGCACGAACGGCTGCACGACGAGCATGAGCACGAACAGCGGCGTCGCGATGATCAGCGTCACCAGGTAGAACAGAATGGCGCGGAACCGGTTCAGCACGCTCGTCTCTGCGTGCGCGGGTGTCGGCAGGGAGAAGAAACGGGGAGAGGGAAAGTCGGAGAACGGTGAGAAAATGCTGCTCGTTTCCGCGTTATGCTGAGATATGCTGCCCGGTACGCACGCTAATGTCGGCAAGACGAAGAGCATGTTTGTTGGGGGAGAGGGGGGGGAGAGGGGGGAGGGGAGGAGGGGGGGGGTTGAGTGGGTTCGTCCAAGCTTCAAAGGCGCGTGTCGCCTTTTTCCCAGCTCAGCCTCGGGGCATGGCACGGCTGGCCGAAAAATATAGTCTGGAAGCGTTCATCGACCGGGAAGAGCGATGGAGTTTGTGGCTTTTGTTCCTCAAAAGAACAATGGACCATGACAATAACGAGGCGATGTCACAAAGCCGAAGGCAACGTAACCGGCGCCGGCACTGGCGCTGGCATTGGCAAAGGCGGGATACTGACGTGTGGGGGGAGGAAACGGCAAGCTGTCGTCGAAGGCCCTCGCGCCATCGCCGAACGCCGCCGCGCCTGCTGCTGCCGAGGCTCTAACGGAATCTGCGGGCCGGCGCGAGAGGAGAGGTTCACGAGACGGCAGCAACGGGGACGCGGATGTCTTGCTGAAAAGGCTGACGCGAGGATTGGGTGGCGGGACTGCGGCGAGCGACGCGCGAGGAGCGGCGATGGCAGTTGGTGGAGTGATGACAGAGGCTCGTGATCGCGAAGGTAGGAACGAGACGGACGGCTGCGATTGCAGCAGGCGCCGGCTGTGTGAGAAGGACGAGAGGCAACTGTTGATCATAGTTGTTTGCTGGGAAGCAGCGACGAATGCCGTGGAAGCCATGGCTGCCTGCCTTTGTAATCAGGAAGGAAAGAGGTACTGCAAAATGCGTGAGCGCCTTTCGATAATGCAGGCTCCAGGCTAGACTATCCTTCACAATAGTCAGGCTACAATACGAAAGCCCTTGGCCACCGGAAAAACCGCACTCCCGTGTGGGATGGTTTAGTGGTCTCTGACCAGCGTAGTGTACGGGCCAGTTATGCCAAGTGATGGCGGAGTAATGCAGCGAGTAGTTGCTTGTTGGTGCTGCTGCGAGCGAGAAAGTCAGGCGGTTGGTTGGAAAATGGAAGATCCCAAGTGGATAAGGATTCAGCCTCCCACAGAGATGCTCTTGTAACGGGAGGTTTTCTATGACACTATCGATGCAGAACATTCGAACATCGGCACTTTTTCCGTGGTTGAAGTACAGTGGTATCAGATACGTTGGATGGATATCAGAGAATTTCACGCCTCTGACACCACCCGAATGTCAGTCGCAGGGACGTTCGCAGACCTGACAAACGGCAGTGCGAGATATCTCCATTTTGGGATTGGCTGGGTGACAGAAAAAACCATTTGCAGTCTGCGATTTGTTCGCGAGAGAATTCGCGAGTTCGCACACCAGTTTCTACCTCACACCGACCCATCTTGTTCCATTGGCCCGCTGAACGAACAAGGGGCACGCCTTGCTTCGCCTCTAGTGGGAGTAACCCGATTGCAACCAGTCACCCTACCTCCACTCCACACACCCACCCCACCAGGCTTGTCGCTTGCAGGGCGTTTGCCCTGCTGGACCTTGAATTCCAGGGCTGGGTTGCCCTTGAATTATGAAATAGGTGGGTTGGAAATTTTCTGGCCCTGATTCCTTACAGGGCTCAATCAGGGCTTAGGTCTGGAGTGTAAAGGGTAGATTTTAATCGAGCCCTGGAACAAAATCTTTCGAGTTCCCCCCCCCCCCCCCCCACCCCACCCAAGCTCCTCCATAGCCTTGGATCCATCCAATCCAATCCAACCAACCTGGCAAACTTGGAGTTGCGTGATTGGGTCACTCACAATTCAACTCAACATAGAACTTGTGTTTGTGCCAATCCAATCACATCCTCGCTCCCTTGCCACAACATACAGACAGAAGCATGAATCGGACTTGCTGCAGCAACGGACATCTCATATCCCCGTCGTGCAGTGCCCCAGCAAGCACGCACCAGCCCAGCAGCAGAAAAACACGTCAGATCCCCCTCGTGCAGTGCGCCTCGTACTGCACGACGGTACGACGACGAGACGAGGAGAAAGAGAGGACGTGCCACGCCACGCCAAGCCAGCCTTCCCTCCGTCACCTTTCTCCTCTAATCTCGTACTCCATCCATCAATCCCTTCTAGCTCTCACACAAGGCACTGCCTATTAAAAAAGCCCATGTTTAACACTTACGCATCGTGGCAGAAATGGAGCTTTCTAGTGAGACACGTACAGCATCGACCGTCCCAGTACCTCGAGTTTTCAACACCCCCGTCCACTCTGAAAGGCCCGACGCCTTAGATTCGGATAGTGAGCACGAGAGTCTTGGTGATGGCGATGACGAGAACGCCTTAGACTCTAATAGTGAGAAAGAGAGTACCAGTGATGGCGCTGATGAGAACTTCCACGAGGTCGAGGTCCAGCTAGTCGATCGTGTGTCTCGCCGCGCCAGTGAAGTTTCTTCCACTCCGGGCCAGCGCATGCGTCAGACGCGACTGTCGTGGTCGGGACCACACCTTCCACCTCGTAAGCGCTCGAGGAAGGTGTCGACCGTGGATGACAAGGTCGCTCTTGCTGTGGATAATCCCGCGGAACGCATGGATGTCCCTGCGTCGGAGAAGAAACTGGTCGAGAAGTGGAACCCTGGGTGGAAGCAAACCTTCAAGTGGTTGGTGCTCGAGTATGACGACGAGCAACAGATGTGCGGTATGAAGTGTAAGATCTGCAAAGCCCATGCCAAGAACAGCAAATCTCCGTTTGGCCCTCTTGGCATAGGAGCGCGTGATTTTCAGGTGGGGTGTTGCAGAGGTCATGAGTTCTCGAGGCTGCACCTTGCTGCTGTGACGGCCGACCATATCGCTAAGGGCACAGAGAGGCAACAGCGTAGTATCCTAGAACTTCTGAGCGCTGAGCCGCTGACCCGCAGAGTGGTGAAATGTCTTCAGGCAGCTTACTGGTGTTGTCGAAATGATGCACCAATCATGCTCTACACGCTTCTTGTTAAGTTCATGGCTGAGCAGGGCTGCCCAGACATGACTAATGAAGAGGCATACGGGCGATACTACTCAAGGTAATGCGTTGTTGTTTCTGCTTGCTACCATTATACAATCTAACATTCTGCTTATGCACCTTTGCAGATACGCATGCGGCGAGTTTGTTTCGGCGCTCGCAAGCTACCTCCAAGGGCGCCAGCTGGCAGACGTCCAAGCCTCGCCATGGTACGGGCTCTCATTCGATGAGAGCACGGACCGCGCGCACGGCAAGCACATGATCATGTATGTGCACTTCGAGCGCAACGAGCAGACGGAGGTGCAGTTTTTTGGCAACATACCAGTCGACAAAGCCGATGGCGCCTCGTTGTACGCTTCCATCACGACACATCTTGACAGCAAAGGCTTGTCCTTGGACAAGCTTGCGGGTGTGTCCACTGACGGTACCAAGGTTATGGTGGGAATGAAGAAGGGGGTTGTGGGTCGTTTAATGCAGCGCTGCCCGTGGCTCGTTGCTGTGCACTGCGTGGCACACCGGTGAGTCAGAATGCTTGTTTGGTATGTTCCTTTCTCATCTCTAGTTGCTGTTTTTTAACTCATGTTTCACTGGTACCCGTGTCACAGGGAGGCGTTGGCAACAAAGGATGCTGCCAAGAAGTTCCCTGACTTCAATGTCATTGACTCACAGATTCGCAAGACTGCTGAGCCCATCGGCCGCTCCAGCATCTCCAGAGATGCCTTCATGCAGCTGCAGGACGTGGTAATGAAAACCCAACTGGAAGTTCAGGGCATTTTCGACGTGCGCTGGCTTTCACGCGGGGATGCAGTGGCGCGGTTTTGCGAAGTGCTGCCAATCCTCCTCTGGCTTTGGCACGAAGAGGACCAAGCTGCGTACAAGATCGGCACAAGTTTCAAGTTTCAGTTCATGCTCTTCTTCCTCGCCGACGTGCTGGAGATGCTCAACACCCTCAACATGGCGTTTCAGAGGCTGGTGGTATGTTTGCATCATGTCATGGCCTTTGCTGATACAAGCGCTCTTTATTAACTGCCCTGCCCCTCTGCCCTGCCCCTGTGCCCTGCCCCTGTGCCCTGCCCCTGTGCCCTGCCCCTGTGCCCTGCCCCTTTGCCCTGCCCCTGTGCCCTGCCCCTGTGCCCTACCCCTCTGCCCTGCCCCTCTGCCCTGCTCCTTTGCCCTGCCCCTCTGCCCTGCCCCTCTGCCCTGCCCCTCTGCCCTGCTCCTTTGCCCTGCCCCTCTGCCCTGCCCCTCTCCCCTGCCCCTCTGCCCTGCTCCTTTGCCCTGCCCCTCTGCCCTGCCCCTGTGCCCTGCCCCTGTGCCCTGCCCCTTTGCCCTGCCCCTCTTCCCTGCCCCTCTGCCCTGCCCCTCTGCCCTGCCCCTGCTAATGAGCAGGTGGACATCGGCGAGGTGAAGCTCCTCGTCGATAAACTGAAGCTGAAGCTGGCGCAACGTTACGTGGAGAACCGCGCAGACTATGGGACCCCGAAGAGCAAGCACCTGCATGCTTTTCTCGAGAAGCACGGCAGCCCTGACAAGCGCGAGATCACCATACGCGGCCTCGACAAGCAAGGGACCGCATGCACCATAAAAGACATACTGCATGAAAACCCCATCGGCAAAGACAAGAAGACGGACCTGGATTCGTGCATCAAGCTGGGGCAGGAGTTTGCGCAGGAGTTGATCGCAAAGCTGGACTACCGCCTTGGGGACCTGAAGCATTTTGACGGGGCAAAACTCTTCATGCCAATGCACTACCCGCCGCGCCCTGCTGACCGTGAAGGATGGCTCAACGTCCACCTCTACGAACTCCTTGACATGTTCAAGGAGAAGCTGCCCAGTACGTAAGAATGCCCATGATCCAGTACATTTTATATTCCCAGCAGTGTTATTATCATAGGTGCTTCCATGTTTAACTTATTCTTCTCCTACGCCCACCCCACCACACGCAGGTGTCATGTACCAGGAGTGTCAGCTGGAGATGGAGCTCTTTGCTGCCACAATGTTCAAAAAGTTCAAGGACCTGACTTTCCAGCAAGCCCTCGCCAACGTGCTACGCACCTCAGACTGGAGGGATGATTACCCCACCCTCGTGCACTTGTGGCGCGCACTTGCTGTCCTGCCCCTTAGCACTGTTGAGTGCGAAAGGGGCTTCAGTAGGCAGAACATAATAAAATCATGGGACAGGACTGCTCTTAGTGATGTTAAGCTAGATCAGCTGATGACTGTGAAGATGCTTGACTATCCTGTGGAGTGGGTAGAAGTGCACAAGATCTTCACTGCTGCCAAGGCTAGGAAGCCTTCTAAGCGTGCATAGAGAAATGACGCCAAGTATTTTTTTTGTAGTGTTTGCTTGTATTAGTTTGTAGTTGTAGTCATTGTAGTTAAAATGAAGCAGCAAAATATGACGCGCCAAACCTGATTCAAAGGGTGGAAAATTTTCCAGCCCTGACGCCTTAAGGGCCAAGACTCGCCCCAACCCTGCTAGATACAGGATCGCACGTGGCAGGCCCCCTAATTTGCCCGGGGCCCCCAAAACGAATCGACAGCCCTGCACCCCACTCACCCTGCAGGAGGTTCTCACAGTAGTGTCAATGGCGGACTAGTCACCTACAGATCTTTGCCTTGCCATTACTACCTAAGGGTTGTTGCTCGGGCGACGACATTCTTCATTTGCTTGCTGAGTTTGTTTCAAGCCACCGCTTTGTTCGCTACTTTGTATCATTCGCCAGCTCTTATGTGCTGATGGACGTTATTCGTTAGATCCTTGGGGCGACTTTGCTCCGAAACAACCTGCGCTGAGTTATTCTCGCTGTCGATCTTGCTGCCGACCTTCTCTGCATAATCGGACACGATGGAAGCGTTCTTCGCTCGCGCGAGATCGGTCGCCGAAGAGGCGGCGAAGAAGACTCAAGAAATCACTGTCAAGCTGTCGCAGGATATTGTCAAAGAGACTACAAAAGTATCAACTCAGCTCGTGACAGAAACTGCCAAGTACAGTGAGCAGCTGTCGAAGAATCCCACAATCCAGGATATTGCCACTCGCTCCAAAACGTTCGCTCATGAGGCTGGCAAGAAGGCGCAAGAGCTCGCGAAAGAAGCTGCGGAAAAGATCCCCGCGTTAGCGCAGCAGACGGCGCAGAGTGCTGGGGAAGGGATTCAAAGTCTGGTAAAGGAGTTGAAAGTAGGGGGGTCAGGACACCAGCCATTAGACAAAGAGCTGGAAGAATATGGAGTGACTGAAGATTTGCGCGAATTCGTTCGTGGAATGACTCTTGACACGTTTAAGGAATTTCCAGTCGACGATGAGATCAAGCGTAAGTGGATGTCAGATGACTTCGGAAATCGGACTGCATGGATGCTATGCTTCCCTTGGGATTCCCCGTTCACTCCGTACGTTCCGGTGTGTGCATGAGCAGAGCTGAAGGAAGCTGCAACAGCTGAGGAGGGTGTAGGAGCGGTGGCAGCAACCACGACAGAAAATGCTTTAAAGACCGACCAGGTGGAGGTTGGTCCCGACAACGTCAGACACGATCTTAACGCATTTCAGACTCGCCATGCCATGCTGGTCTTGGAGAGCGTAAAGGTGCGCATGTCTTCCTACTCTTTTTCGCCACTCTATTTCCTGCGATCCATTTCACTATTAGCAGCCCTGCACACTCAAATGTCTCTTGTCTGGTTTTCTCTGTATGCTGATGGAAGCTGTTTTACGCTTGTGCAGGAGATTTCCACGTTTCGGTATCAATTATGCCCACGGGTTATGCCAGAGCATCGATTTTGGAAGATTTACTTTATGCTCGTGCACACACACGTTTTACCGTGAGCATTCAGTTCTTTTTTTTAGGGGGGGGTTCCTAACGTTCTTCCTACAATTGTTTTGTCCAGTCAGACTTTTCCAACTATTTTGTCCAAGTCGCTGAGATATTAATCTTATTCTGGTTATGCATGCTGTGTTGATCAGGTATGAGACGCGATGGTCTGTGAGACAGGAAGAGCTGGCAGCAGGGCTTGCAGCTTTGAAGGAGCAGGCTGCACAAGCAGCGGCCATTGCAACCACCCCTCCAGCTGCCAAGGCTCATGCTTCTGATTCAAATTCAAGTTTGAACAAGTCCACTGGTTCCTCAGGAGCTGTTGCTGGAACAGCAGTAGCTGCTGCTGGGGCAGCAGCAGCAGCAGCAGTGGCGACAACATCTATGAGTGAAGATGGTGATGACCAGAAGACTGAAGGGGACGACATTGATGCTCTTCTCATGGATGCACTTGGGGGGGATGATGCAGGTATGGTTTTTTTGCACATCAGTATGAGTGGGCATTGATTGCTGCTTCATCGCGGATGGTTTGGCAGTTGCAGGCGGATGTTTGGTAACAGCTGCAGCTCGACAATTCTCACTCACTTTGAGTCGATTGGATACCTTTGTCTGAACCCCGATGGCAGGGGATGACGACGAGGATGATGGGGCTTTTGATGCAGAGGACTTTGATGAGCTCGTCAAGTCAGCGGTCAGTATCCAATTCACTTTTCCTTCCATCTTCCTACTATGTCTTGGGCACTGTCGGCTTTCGTGCTGCTACGCCTCACCTTTGCGGTTCGTTGGCATCAGTGTCACCATGTCCATGCTTATCAATTACAAGCTTGATCCATTTTGTAAAATGCTCCCAGTCAGTCATGCTGCTGCACCATTCAAACCGTTCCTGAATTTTTTGTTTTTCTTCCCCCCTCTCAATCATCACTTGCATAACAGGTTGGTTCAGACCTTGATGACATCAAATAAGTACTTCATTCATCCCTGCCAATTGTTAGTCGAAGTCAGAAGTCACGCGTAAACCATGTAGTCTTTCCACGTGTTTCATGTAAGCAGTGGTATCTCTGGTGCTGTTTGCTGAGTATGGCCACTAGGACAGGAGGGTGAAACTTGTAGTCTGCAAAAAGGTGTTCACATCTAATTATGTGTACATACAATATTGTGCTGCTCATTCAGTAGGCTTTGAACTACACATTTGAAACTGGCATATACTGTCTTGAGCTAGACAGTAAAATTTATTCCTCACCTCAGTACTCTAACCTTTTGGCATGTCTCATTCCCATATTACGAACCGGTGTACACTATTTCACATACACTTCGTCCCTCGTCAAATCTCAATCTGCTGACATCACTTTATGCTGCGCTGGCGGACGTGTTCCTGCCTTGTCGGGTGCGCTGGCATCTTCTAATGACGGTGCTCCCAGTGCAGGTCTCAGATTGGTCTGTCTCCACACGAGTAACCCGGGAGTCTGGAAAAGGCAAACGAGTTTGGCACGAAGTTTACGGTGAAAAGGAAGTTGTCAGGATGCCCATGTTTGTTTTCTACAATATAAGTACTGGCTGGTGCATACTTTCAAAATAACCATATATTTCATTTATTTCTTCTGTCGCCTCTCATCCTACACCTGCAAAATATCAGATTCATCAGCCCGTGGCGCGTCAAAATTTTACGACACGTCAGCTCAAACATCTCACGTCCATCTACACGCACGCGAAACAAGCCCGTGAATCGATCTGGATGCAAGTCCAGATTCCAAAATGACAACGTGAACAACCAATCCCAAGGCTAGGGCAGGTCCTTCCCAACGCGTAAAGCCTGTACCTGCGAGCGAACGAACTCACACATGTAGCGTTACCCTGCTCGCAGCCAGTCACCTTCCTCTTCTCGCTATCGTTCAAGTATCTCGGGTTTCTCCGACTGACCTTCCTCTCCTGCCCCCTTCTCCTGCTCGCTTTCTGCTTTTCGACTTGTCACACGCTCAGCAGAATCATCTGCCTAGAAAAAGGGACTGCATGTCCCAGATACTTCACAACTAGAAAACTATCCATCGAAGTCAAGTCTATACTCCTCCGTCCCGCCGCTCCAGCACGTTTCTGTACGACCCACAAGTGCATCTACTTCCGCTCTGTACTGTGTCTCGTGTCATGGCGGCGCAAGCAAGTCAGGTTTACTTGGCGCATCACCTGACAGCATCTGTACCAGTTGCCGTCAACAGGTGCCCTTCAAGACACCAAGATTCCGCTCTCAGGCTCTCCGCGCCTCCCGCGTTCTCCAGCGGGGCTCTCAGGGCTGGCTGTGAGAACGGATGGGGGAGGAGCAGAGCAGTTCGGCGGCCCGTACCGGTCATTCGAGCGGAGGCAGGAGCGGTGCAAAGTCCGCCTGAGAAGGACAAGAGGAACCCCACATTCGAGAAGGTTGGTCTCTTCACAGTGTTAACCACTGCGTTTCCTCTCGCGTTTTGATTTAGCTTCTCTCTCGCAGTTCTTACCTTAGGTCCAGCCAGCAGAACCATGCACTTTTCACTTCCCTTATGCCTCTCTCTCCCTGTCTCGTTTCCCGTGTCGTCGCGCGCAGGTGACGCATCGCGAGCACCTCACCGTGGGCGACTGCATGACCAAGGGCGACGTGAAGGTCGTCAAAGTCACCACCACCGTGGATGAAGGTACGCGCCCGACAGCTTTTCTCGCCACCGTGACTGAAGGTACGCGCGGCAGCGATACCAAGGAGAAAGCAGCGTTTCCTTTGTCGACCTGAGCTTCTTCCAGATGCAACGACGCCGTCTCGCTGCCGTTTTCTTCGGCGTGTGTGACTAATACTGATGCCGTTTCCGGAATGTTGTGTAATAATAACCGATACATACAGATACTCACTCTCCCAACCTTACCCGCTTTCTCCTCCCTCCCCTCCCCTCTTTTCTCACCCCCACCTTCCCCTTTCCGCTCCCTTCCCTCCCCCCGCCATCCCCTTCGTCCCGCGTTCTCCCCGCGTCGCGCAGCGCTGGAGAAGCTAGTAGCGTATCGCATCTCGGGCATGCCCGTGGTCGACGACGACAACCGCGTCGTAAGCACACACGCACGCACCCACGCGCACACCCACCCACGCCTCCCGTCATTTCGCTTCCCCTACGCCGCACCTCTCCCGCTCTCTCTCGTTTCCTCCGCGCTTTTCTAGACCCCGCCGCTCTCGTCGCTCTGTCATTCTCCTAGTGTTGCGCTCCCTACCAATTTTTCCCGTCGTCTGAATCAAATTCAAAGCACCCGTCTTCCCTCTCTACCTCTCTGTCGTCCCGGTCTCCCGTTCTCCCTGGTCCCTTGGTGCCTCGTGCCGTTGTGTCCGATCCGGCCATGGGTGACTGTTGGTGCAGGTGGGCGTGGTATCGGACTACGACCTACAGTTTCATCTTCCTCGCTCTGTCCTTCTCCCTCGTTTTATGGTTTTTGCTTGTTGGTGCAGGTGGGCGTGGTATCGGACTACGACCTACTCGCCCTCGACTCCATCTCAGGTGCGCTCTCCGACCTCCTCGCTCTCCGACCGCCTCGCCCTCCTCTCTCGCCTCTCTCTCCTCACCTCTTCACCCTCCTCTCTCTCCTCTCTCTCCTCACCTCTTCACCCTCCTCACCCTCCTCACCACCACTCACCTACTCACCTCCTCACCGCCTGCCTGCCTTCTCGCCTTCCTCGTTCGTTCTACTCGCGCGCATCGAATGCCGCGCGTGCTCACTCTGTTCGCTTCCCTATCCGAGCTGGGTTATCTCCCTGGCAGAACGAGGAATATCTCCCCATCAACTGGTCGAATCCCCCCCTTCTTCCCGCACCCCCTTTCCTTCGTCCTCTCCCCGCCCCCCTCCCCCTGACAGGCAAGCACAAGGAGCGCGACGGCATATTCCCGCAGGCCGGCAGCACGTGGAAGGTGCGTGGTGGCGCAGGGATAGAGATGATAGGGTGGCGGGGTGGAGGAGGAAGGGGAAGCGGAGGAAAGGAAAGGTTGGATAGATGGAGGGAGTGGAACATGAGGTGCTTTTACTCGCGGCCGCTTTTCGAGGGGTTGGCATGGGCTATGAGTCCCATGAGGTGCTTTTACTCGCGGCCGCTTTGTGATGCGTGGAACAGCAAGTGAGCTTCTTCTCGTTCCTGCTCCCCCCATACATCCATCCGTCTCCTTGCGCCGTTCCATTTCCGAGCCATCTGCTTCCTCCCTTTACCATTCCTAGCTCCGCCTCCTCGCTTCTTCCCATCATCATGTGTAACAACCCACCCCACCTGGCCCCACCCCGCCCCACCCCACCCCACCCACATGCGCGCGCGCACACGACCGGGAGGCAGGCGTTCAAGGAGATCCAGCTGCTGCTGATGAAGAACGCGGGGGCCACCGTGGGGGACGTGATGACCCCCAACCCGCTGTGCGCACGTGCCATGACCAACATTGAAGACGCTGCACGGTGAGCATGGGGAGGGGGAGGGGGGAGGGGGGAGGGGGGAGCGTAGAGGAGGGAGGGTAGAGGAGGGAGGGTGACTGGGGAAAGAGCAAAGGCGCTGTGCGCGCGCGCCATGACCAACATTGAAGCCGCCGCACGGTGAGACTGGGCGACAAGGGTAGAGTGGGGAGGGCGACTGGTGAAGGGGAAAGCTGTGCGCGCGCGCCATGTCCAACATCGAAGACGCTGCACATTGAGCACGGGGAGGAGGGAGGATGAAGGAGAGTGAAGGAGGGTAAAGGAGGATGAGGGTGGGTGATGGAGGGGGCAGGGTGACTCGAGAGAAGGCAAAGCATTCTGCAAGGGAACTTACTATGCTCACAAACATAGAGGATGCTGCCCTGTGCCGAGGGGCCTGAAGGTGGCAGTAGGAAGGAGGGTTATTGGGGACCAGGGGAAGATCTGTCAATCAAGGCTGAACCTTCCTGCCACCCTGTCCGCGTCTCTGTTTGCACTGCCAGGCCTCTCAGCTTCGTTCTCTCTTCACTCTCTGTGTTTGTGTGGGTGCCGGTTTGTGTGTGCATGTATCTGTGTGCATATGTCTGTGTGTACGCATGCATGTGCTCGGTGTGCATCACGCGTGTGTGTGTGTGTGAATGGTATGTGTGTGCATTGCATGGGTGCACGTGCAGAGTGCTGATAGAGTCCAAGTTCCATCGCCTGCCTATCGTGGATGAGGACGGCGTTCTGGTCAGTCACGTCCCATGCACACAATGCTCCCTGTTTCCCTACTACCACAAATCAGCTCCTGCTTTGCTCCCCATTGCAAGACAGCTCGGTTTGCCGGACCTGCTGCCCTTTCCGTTCTTTTGTTTTACTGCCATCGGCTCACCTGCATGGCCATCTCTGATCCTGGTGTTCTATCCTCCCTTCCAATCCCAAACCTCTCTCATCCCACAATCCGCTCCCCTCTCCCTTTTCTCTCCCCGTCTCTCCCTCCCCCCACCTCCTCTCCCGGTGCCTCTCTCCAGATCGGGCTGTTGACGCGTGGCAATGTGGTGCGGGCGGCACTGATGATGAAGCGCATGGCGGAGGGCAAGGGGATGGGGCCAACAGGCGGCAACTAACCACACACGCTTACACATGCACACACATGCACTGCACTGTACATGCTAGCTACACAGTGTCACGACCATGCCGATCAGCGGCCGGCTAATGGAGCATGTCCTGTCACCGTGTGCATTTGCTTCACAGCATTCTCTCATCAAATCTACCACAGACAGTCCAGTCCAGTGTGACTGGTTTCCTTTTTGCCTGACATGGCTGCAACTTGCAAGAGTGACTGCTCCTTTGTTTGCGTTTGAAACTTTCCTTGCGAGTACTGGGCTGAATGGTTGCTTGTCATCAAGGCGCATGCATCTTCTTGTGCAGCTGTGACCTGCTGAAGAGAGAAGCAGTAGTTGCCTTTTCTCTCTCTGGTTAGGCGCCCTGTTCCTTTCACACTTTTGTACATTGGGGTTTGAATCATTGATCGCTGTAGCATATTATCATATCATATCCCGTGCTCGTTTTATCCAAGCAATTGTGCTGGCTGAAGTCTGAACCGTATTATTCTTCAAACCGAACCTTCCAAAAGAAAAGGCCATACCATCTCAGGAAGAGTAGTAATTTCCCAGCAAATGTGTCTGAACTCTGTACCAGCCAAGCCACACACCAATACAAGTCTGCCTTGTTGTCGCAAAAAACTTCCACACCAACTTGCAAGCTGTACAGAATATGTACAGGGCACTCCCAATCCCCACGAGTGCAAACTGCCCCCCTGTCCTCCTCTCCCCATGCATCTTACCCCAGGGTCTCATTGCTTCACACTTGAAGCCAACGCCTAGATTTGCCACCAAAGCCTGCTCGGAGATCTAGGAATTTCCAGCAGCAGCAGCAGCCTCAGCAGCAACGGGTGAGAGTGTATCAAGGAAGACGCGGTGGAAGTCAGGGTGGGCGAAGGGCGAGTAGTGACCGTGGCCGTGCAGCAGGTGCAGCGACACGCATGGCAGCAGGTGCGCCAGCAGGTCTGATAGCAGCACTGGCACATCCTGGTCCTCCGTACCCTGGGTGGTGAATGATGTGGTGCAAAGGGGGGGTTTTGGGAAAAGGTGGGGGACGGCAGGGGAAAGAATTGGAGAAAGCAAGGGTAGGTAAGGCAATGGAGTGAATGGGTTGAAGAGGTGAGCGTGAACAGACGGTGCTCGTGGTGAGACTGGTGATTGGGAATGAGGAGATGGAAATCAGCGGGGATGAATGCGGGGGAATTGAGCAGACGAAATGGAATGTGGAAGGATGAAGGAGGCGACCTGACCTGCCAAATGTGGATTGGGAAGTCGCAGTGTTTCAGGTCTGCGAGGTAGAACCCCCATGGCTGTGCGGGCAGCAGTAGGTCCTCCAGCACTGCCTGCACGTTCCCCTGGTATAGCGCTTCCTGGCAGGTGGCTGTGAATGGGATTGCGAAGGAGGAGAGAGAGACAGGGAGGGAGGGAACAGGGAGGGGGGGGGGGAAGAGAAAAAGAGTGAGCGATGGGAGGGTGTGCTGGCGAATAGAGTACAGTGAAGAGGAAACGAGAGAAAATAAAGAGAAAGAAATAACTGAACAAGAAGGGTGAAGGAGAAGGAATTGAGCAGAAAGAAAAGAGAACCGCACCTGCGAGCATGTGGAGGGTGTGGGGATGCGAGAGCGCCTGTGCATCCGCCCACTGCACATACGACATGAGCGCACGGTGGATGGCCGTATCAAACAGCACCACAGGGGCGAGCAGGCGCACGAGGGGCGGTGGGAAGAGCAGCGGGCAGAGGAGGGGGACGATGCTGGGAGGGATCCAGCGCAGGCACTCGAAGCGCAGGCGTGCAGGGAAAGGCAGGGCGGACCAGAGGGAGAGGGCGAAGAGAGCTGCGTGCTGGCATGCCGCCCACTGCTTGTGGAGTTTGGAGAGAATGGACGATGGTTCTGATCCCTCATTGCTCCCACTGCTCCCGCTGCTCTCCTTCCTTTCCTTGCTCTCCTCTGCCGCACCCCACTCCCTAGAACCTCTCCTCTCCTCTGGCTCCCCACCACTCTCTCCCCTGCCCTTCCCCGCCACCACTCCCTGCCTTTCCCCCATCCCCCCTCCCCCAACCATGGCCGCCACCAGATCCCACGGGTTCACATCCCCAGCCCACAGCACAACCCCCGCCAGACGCTCAGGCAGGAACCTGGCTGCTGCGAGGGCATGAGGGCCCCCTCCCGAGTATCCCAGCACCCAGAACTTGGGCGGCAGGGAGAGGAGGGACGCGAGGTGGCGCAGGTCAGAGGCAGAGGAGTGGAGGGTCCATCCCGGGTGGGGGTCTGACTGGCCTATCCCTGGGCGGTCGAAGGAAACAACGCGGATTTTGCGCGCGTGGAGGAGTGAGGGGCTGGTGGGAGAATAGGGGGTTGCGAGTAGGGGAGGGGTGGGGGGTGGCAGGGGAAGTTTGGGAAAGGTTTGGAAGGAGGGTGGTGGGGTAAGGTAGGGGCCAAGTGAGGGAGGATGTGTGGATGGATCAAGCTTGAGGAGTGTGGCGTGGTGTGGTGTGGTGATGTAGGATGCGAAGGTACGCATGTGTCATGTGTCACGTGTATGCACTATGTGCCACATGGTATGTGCCTATGCAAGTGCGCGTGCCATGTGAATAAGAGGCCTTACTTGATTATGGGGATGCCCACGGGGCGACATCTAGGTGATTTTTAAGGCACCTAAAAAATCACCTTAACAGCTACACCAACGTGCATGCGCCATGTGAACAAGATGCCTTACTTGACCATGGGGATGCCCACAAGGCCGCAGCTAGGTGATTGTTGAAGTGCTTAAAAAACGACCTTAACAGCTACACCAACGTGCATGCGCCATAACAAGAGGCTTTACTTGATCATGGGAATGCCCACGAGGCGGCAGCTAGGAGTGCCATGCAGCACAACGATAGTCACACATGCATCGCTGGCAGCCGCGCCCCACTCACACACCGCCACGTGGCGGCCATCTGGCAGCTTCACACGGTGAGCCGTGATGCGGACCGGTGGGAGGGTGAGAGACGCGAGGGCGGAGAGAAACGCTGCAGATGGGGGGTTGAGATGGGTTGAATTGCGTTGACAAGAGGTGAAATTCCGGCAGAGGAGACGAGGGGGAAGAGACCAAAGTTCAAAAAAGAAAAAAAAGAAACTTCAGGGTTTAGTCAGGGAATACAGCGCGAAGAAAAGGCGCTTGTGAAGAGGGACGGGAACGAGAGGCTGAGCAGCAGACCCTGAGACTCGTACCTGCTACAGCAATCCAGCACACGAGCACGGGAACAACTGGCAGCAGCAAAAGGGACAGCAGCAGCGGGACCAGTACAACAGAACCAACAGCCCAGAGGGGGCCAAAGGGACTGGACAACGGCCACTGGCACCCACTCTGCCACCCCTCCAACCACGCTGACACCCACGATAGTAACCCCGACCATCGCCATGCCTGCTGCTGCTCCTCGTCCTCCTCCCTCTCTTCCTTCTCCGCTCCTGCCCCTGCCCGTGCCAGTGCCTCTCCACACCCATGCCTCCCGGTCTGCTGCGCCTTGGCTCCGCCTGGCGAATTGGGTGCGCGGGAAAGGGGCAGCAGCAGCGGAAGCAGGGTGCCGTAAAGGGCGTGACACGCGGAGGAGACGGCGCGATGGAGCAGAGGCCAAGGTTGGGATCCAAGGGAAAGGCGCATGCTCGGCGGTGCTCGTGCTTCTGGTGCCACTGTCATTGGTAGCATGCCGCCCCGTGCTGCTGATGCGCGCTCGTCAACGCTGCTGCTGCTAGTGCTGCTGCTGCTCCCATCGTCCGTGCCAGCAGCGGCAGCAAGCGGGGCAGCAGGCACAGCAGCAAGCGAAGCAGCAGGCACAGCAGCAAGCGAAGCAGCAGGCGCAGCAGCGGGAAGGGGAGGAGGAATAGCAGCCGGCATAACAGCGGGCACAGCAGCCAGCACGGCAGCAGCAGCGGTATCAGGGGATGCACCGGGCGGCTCTATTGGGCTAGTACCCTCCGCCGCTGCCCCTTCCTCCGATTTCCCCTCGTCCCCTCCGCCCAACTCCGCCCCGTCCCCCAACTCGCTTCCGCCAGGAAGGGGAGGGATCAACGGGGAAGGCCCGATACTGCTAGCACGCGGGGAGGCGGAGGCGGAGCCGGAAGCGCGAGCGGTAACATTGGCATCAGCGGATGCGGAAGGGGAGGGGGGCGAGGAGGCGGATCTGATAGAGCCTGTGTCTGAAGTGGAAGCAGGCTGCTCCCACAGGGATTCCAGCATGGATAGCACGTCTGGTGTAGAGGTCGCTCGCCCTGAGGTGCTCCGCGGGGTAGTGGTAGCCTGCCCTGCTGTGTTTCCAGAAGCAGCGGCTTGAGAACCCCGTGGGATGATCCCTTGGGAACTGCGCCGGGAATCTCCTTTGGTGTCAGGCGCTTTGACGGAGGACGAAGATTCATGGCTGGCGGGCTGACGAGTCGTGCTTGAAGCGCCATGATCGAGATTTATGGGATCTACAACCGTAGCAGCACTCGGATACGTGGTGCTGAGATTCGTCGTGGATGACGGAGCTGCAGCAACGCTGGGACTAGTAGCACTGGGAGTCCCACTGAGAGTGGCACTGGTAGCACTGGGATTAGAATCACTCGGATTCGCAGCACTGGGATTGGTAGCACCGGAACTGGTAGCCCCTGATTTACCACCGCGATTACTTCTTCTGCGATTGGTTCGAGCACCCATAAACATTGTGGCACTGCTGGAAAGGCCCGCTGAACTTCCTGCTCCCAAGCCGAATTCGGCTAGTCAAGCCAAGGCAACAAACGTGAACCACGAGCGAAGCTGCGCGGGATGGTGCTGCTTCTGTGTGACAAACCCGCCGCTTCCCTGCGACAGAACTGCTTCACCGTTCGGATTATTTACAACCGTTCTAGACCCCTGGATGCTGAAGTGACACACACTTGAAATCAAAATCGAACACAAAACGCTCGTCCTCTAACACCGATAGTCTACTTTAAGGGCATCTCAGCCTGCAAAGGAGAGAGTACGAATTAGCATGTCACCTCCATGGATGACCCAGCTGATTCCATTGCAACGAGAACCCAACGCCAGAGGAGAAGCTGAAGGCTGGAAGCTATGAAAACAAGGACTCCCGAATTCGTGTCAAGGAAAATCGAAACACTAAGGACGCGGCACCTGTTTTCATTTTACAAGGATCGCGGCCTCACATCGATCCTGGCATATCGATCGGCACACCGATGTGCCCACACTGCAAATTTGCAGTGGGGTAGACACATCGAGCTATAGGTACCAGGGTCGAAATTGCAGGCTCGGGCAGGTTGGAGCTGCCATTACGCTTAAACGCGCAGCCAATCAGGGCAGAGCATGGATGGTCGTCCAGCAATTCCATTCGCAGCGACTCAAGAATTTCTGGCCTGCGACCGTGGGCGACGCCGATCGATCGAGGCTGTCACCTGTGGCGCGATATGCTCTCCCGCCAACCCTAACGCATGCACCACGGCACATCGATCGTGCGAGCTGCAGGTGCCACCAATTTGGGTACCCGTTTACTGTACCTACTCGAATCTCAGCGGAAAAATGATACCAGGCATTGGCGATGTCGCCAATACACTGTACAAGCGGCACATCGATCCCCTCCCACGATCGATCCTGGCAAAATGAAAACAGGTGCCGCGTCCTAAGCGTTCAATTTGGTGTGATGTGAAAGCACAGAGGCGAGCGAAACACCCGACGGGACAAATGTTGGAATGGCACTGTGTGGGGTGGTGAGGTGAGGTGAGGTACGGTGCGATGCACTTTTAGTGTCCTGTTCGCACACATTGGGAATTCGAGAAGCCGTGTGATGTGATTGGCTGGCACGTGATCGAAGCAAATCCTCAACCGATCATCCCACACATGCACGTCGCATCGCACGGCTGTCCGCCTGCATGTGGTTCTCCATCCTCTCCAGTCAAGCAGTGCGATGGTTGGACGGACCGCTCCCTAGATTCTGATGATAGAGAGGACAGTCAAGGATGCTGGAAACGGTGTACTGCTTGAAAGTTAGTACCATTAGACCTATTCCTTCATATAATCTCAAGCTACGTATCTACATTTCATGCTTCTCATCTCCACAACAGAGCACGTCGCATACAGAAAACGACACCCAGAGAGCTCCACTTCTTTGCCTGCGGAGCTGATATTGTATGCGTGAAATCAGATGTATCCAGCTCCGGCAGCAGTGAGCCGGTCTCACAGCAACAAGTGCAATGAACAGAAGCATCTCGAGATGGGTGCGGCACATGTAGGTGTTGCTTGCAATGCAACCACAGACCATTGCTCAACAGACTGGTGAGAACCGGTTGCATGATGGTCGCTATCGGGCAAACTGTTGTGCAATGCGGGCAGACTTGTAGTCATCACGCAATTGAATGTAACTGCTCACAAGGGGTCACAACGGGATGGCATCAGACAGGAGCAACAGAACAGTTACGACAAAAATTGGCCAACATTTTTTTTTCTCTCGAAAAAAAGGGGTGATCGGAAGAGCGGCTGGCTGGAACACTGCCGAAAGTACTATACCACAGCGAAGAATGAGTCGATGCATTGAAAAGGAGCAATCAGTAGCATTAAGTGAGGGGAGCGAGCGAGAGAGGGGCGACACGGGCACGGCAGGGCATACATGAGAGCATCCTTGTGCGAGAGATGGCTGCTGTCCACGAGCGTGCGCAGACTGTCCGGCGCCACTATGAACAGATTCACCAACCTGTGCGCACACGCACACGGGCAGGCAGAGGGCCGACAGAAGACGGAGGAAGGAGGGTGTAGGGGAAAGACAAAAGTGCGTGGGGAAGGGAGGGAGAAGGAGGATAGGGAAGGGAGAATAGGAGAAGCGTTGAAGAAAGTGAATGCATGGATGAAGAACAGCCCTGCAATTTACAAATAAAGAAGAAGAAGGTACATGGCCAATTGGCATGGCAGTTTGTGCAAGATGGTTGGCAGGGTGTGCGTGGGGCAGTAGAGTTTGCATTGGGAGGTGGAGTGAAGTGATGTGAGGTGAGGTGAGATGGCGTGCGATGAGGTGAGGTGAGGTGAGGTGCGGTGAAGTGACATACGAGCTGAGTGACTCAAAGAGTTCGTCGACAGTGGGCGTCTTGAAGGCGCGGATGGAGTCTGCATACTCGGACACATCCCTCTTGAGCCGCAGCCCACCGCTGCTCACAGGCAGACAGGCAGGCACGCATGCACGCAGGCAGGCAGGAATTTCATTCCACAACGGCGAAGCACAGCGCATCGCAGTGCAGGGAATGAATAACAAAGGAAGGGGGGCGGCACAGGCCGATGGATGGCAGTAGAATAGAGAGCACCAGGGAAGGAACGAGAAGAGGACAGACGGAGGTTTACAGCATGGGGCGGTTGACATGAGGGAGGGAGAGAGGTGGATGCAATCCGAAGAGCAGGTATGTGAATTCAGTAAGAGGAGAGCAAGCCTGGGTAGAGCAAGTGTGGGGAGTGGTGCTGACCCGGGGTTGAAGGAGAAGCGCTGAATGTGTGCCAGCAGAGCCTTGTGCAGACGCACTCCCTGCATGGGCGGATTGTGGTGCAGAGGGGTCCAGAGGAATGAGGTGCCAGCCAAGTCACGTAATTGAACATAAAAACAACAAACCAGGGTTTGAGATAGCAGAAGCAGTTTCCCTTCCTGCTGTTCCGGACCAAAATCCCCTGAATCAGATTCACCTCTTCCCTCCTTTTCTTCCCTTTACCCCTATTGCAACCCTTGCGACAGCTCACCTCACCGCCCCACAGCACACACCAACCGGGCAACAATACCATTGCAAAGCTCGCTACACGGCTTATGGCAGAACCGCCAGTGCACCGTCACACACCCACACCGCAACAGGCACATGGCAAGCACACAACACACACACACACACACACACACACACACACACACACACACACACACACACACACACACACACACACACACACACACACGCTCGCTCGCACGCACGCACGCACACACGCACACACACACACACACACACACACACACACACACACACACACACACACACACACACACACACACACACACACAGCACGCACCAGCTCGAGCAGGAAGGCGTGGCGGTTGGGCCCCTCCAGTGCTGTCTGTGCCGCATCCACTATGCGCTCCAGATATGCCTTCACCCTGATGCCCGTGCCAGGGGTTGGCGGGAGGGGTGGTTAAGGGGGGAGAAGAGGGTCAGAAGCGGAAAAATGAGAGAGGTGAGACGGGGAAAGGGAGAGAGTGTGGTGCGGCATACGTTTGATGGATCAAAACTTCCAACTCTTGCACGAGGGTTGGGTGGGGAGGAATGGAGACGAGGCGACTTGGCGAGAAAAACAGGCGGTGCAGAACAGAGTGGAACGGACCGAATGGAAGCAGAGAAGGAAAGAGAAGCAAGTGGGGGAGATAGGATGAGAGAGGACAGACAAGTCAACAGACAGACCCCCTCCTTCCCCTCCCCCCCCATCCCCAAACCCCAGCAAACAAAGCCCAGAAGCGTGGGTGGGTGGGAAAAGAGGTGGCGAACTTGATGCAAGCGGTGGTGGGGCGGTGGTCGGGGAGAGTGCCGTCCTCGGGTGGTCTGAACTCCGTTGGCTTCTGCTCTGCTGCCAGCAGCCTCTCCACCTCGCCCACACTCGTGTCTATGCACACCTGCAGAAGGAAGGGCATGGGGGGGAGAGCAGCACAAGGGGGTGAGAACGAATTTTGAGGTGCCTCTAAGAAATGGGGGACAGACAGGAGATTGGGGGAGCGACAGGTGTGGACGCAAAGAGGAGCTGGGGTGTGGGCACTGGAGTGGCGTGCCAATGCGAGACCAGGGAGCGCATGGCATGGAGAAGGGAGGGTGGGGAAAGAGGGGGGGGTGGGTAGAAGGCGATACTGTTGGTGTGAGCAGAGCACAAGTGCTGAAGAGTGGCAAGGGCAAGGATGTTGGAAAGGGGAGGGTGGAGGACGAGGCTAGCAGGAAAGGGGCGAGCAGGGCACGGGCGGAGGAGGGGGGAGGAAGGAAGAGTGAAGAGGGCGGAGGAAGAAAGAGCGAGGAGGATGGAGGAAGGGGTGGGGGGGCAGACCTGCATGCCACGCAGCACGACAGCCTCTGCCTCGCCGAGCTTGCGAGTCATCTCCTCCACACACTTGCCATGCGCCCCATCCACTGCCATCAGCAGCTCGCTAATCGTCCCCTGGAAGTACTGGTATGCACAGACGAGTGTGACGGGGGTGGGCGGGTGTGGAGGAGTGTGGAGAGGTGTGGGAAAAGGGTTGTTGGGAAAAAAATGGGGAGAGAGTGCGGAAACGTGGGGGGCACAGGACCAAGGAGAAGTCACTGGAAAACGGGTTTGAGAGTGCACTAGTGGAGAGTAAAGACGTCAAACTGGGGGGAATGACGGAGAGAGAAGAAGTGCGGGTAGGGGAGCCGGAGAGGGAAAGACTCAAAAGTCGGCTTACAAGCAGCAGCGTACCTGCTGCACTGTGGAGACGGTAGCAGTGGCTCGTTTGACTGCTATGAAGAACGTGCGAATGCTCTGCTCCCCTGCCAATGCTGCTTGCTCCGCCTGTCACATCCCCATCCCCACACACCACATACATTCACACACAGCACACCAACAGATTTGAGCTGCCTTGAAAGTACACACTCGGACAGCTGGCGCATGCAGTGTTGGCAGGCCGGCCGCCGTGCACATGATGCACTGCACAGAAGCAAGCAGCAAGCAGCATGCAACAGGTGAGACGACAGACGACAGGCATGAGAGCAGCAGACTGGAGCGCGAGAGAGAACATAATCAGCAAGGGACGGATGGTGAAGCACTTGCTTTTTTTTAGAGCACTCCGAAGAGCAAACTCGTAATGGAGTCAACTGGGGAGGGCCATCATCAACAGTGATGGAGTTGTGTGGCGAGGGAGAGGAACCGGAAGGGGAGGGAGAGAGGGAGGTGGGGAGGTGGAGAGGCACAAGACCGGAGAAGAAAGGGACCGAGAGAGTGAAGGGAGAGAGGCGGTGGGAAAAAGAGCGAGATGCAAAGAGAGGAAGTTCAAGTGGGGAAGTTCAGGAGATGAAGGCAAGGAGGAGGAGGGGCGGGGGAGGGAGGGGTGGGGAGGGAAGGGGGGGGGTGGGTTTACAGCGGCGGCGGCAGCTTGGGCGACTCTGCGGCTGACGGCAGTGCCGATGCTGAACTTCTCCCGCAGCGCTGCTGCCTCTGCCAGTGCCTTGCTCGCCGTCTCCAACGCTGACAGTGTGTACTCGCCCATCTGATGGGAGGGGACCGAAGGGGAGGGGACGGGAGGTGGAGAGCAAGTGTCAAAGCGCCTCTGAACGCGGTTTTCAACGCTGAAAGAACGTGCTTGACAGGGAGGATACACAGAGGGGACTGCGGCGAGGAGGCATTCAGGCGCGTTGAAGGGGGTGGATTGGGATACGGCAAGGTGGTGACGGAAAAGCCAAGCAGCATGGGGGAGTGCAGGACAGAAGGGCGTGGGGGAACATGGGGAGAGCAGATGAGCAGGTAATAACGGGCGCACCACAACGAAAAGGCGGGTCTTTGGATAATGCGGGCCCGTGATATTCTGAAAAGCTTACCAATTTTGATCTGCTATTGATAGACCAGAGCAGAGCAGGTACCTGATCGTTTAGAGTACCTGGTCAAGGAGCACGTTGAAGATGACTGTGACACTCTCCACCAGCAGTGCGGGCTGCTCAATGGGTCATAGGTTATGGGCGTTCACAATGGAAAAAGGAAGTCGGAAGGGTGTGTTGCGTGGGTGGTGCGAAGGAGGGCGGAAAAAAGGAGAGCAGGAGGAATTGGGTCAGGGTGAATGATCGCGTGTGAGGGAAGGAAGGGAGACGTGCGGGCACGAGCACGCGGCAGCGTTCGATGGCATCCTTGTTCCACTGCACACAGTCCGCCTCTTCTTCAACTCGAATCCAGACTCTTTCCCTTCCCCACCGCCTTACGCGGCCCCCCTGCCCCCTCACTCCTCCCACCCACTTCCCCCATTCCCCCCACTCCCCCCAATTCCCCCGTACCTCGGGCACGAGCACGCGGCAGCGCTCGATGGCATCCTTGTTCCACTGCACACAGTCCGCCACCACGCCTATCCCCCCCGCTCCCGGCGGCAGCAGCGAGGGCGTTGTGCGCTGCCGCACCAGGTTCCCAGGGGATCCCGCCGCCGCTGCCGCCGCCGCTGCAGATCCCGGCTCCAGACCTGGCCCTGCTGCTGCCTGCTGCTGCTGATACTCCGACTCGCACTGCGATCAGCCAGGGGTTGGGGGAGAGGAGACAGAGGATTTCTAGAAACGATCTCTGGTAGAATTTGAAACAAGAACTTGAGTAGAGTATTGCTGCTGCTGGTGGTAGGTAGTCCTGCTTATAACTCGCTTTGGGAACCCCTCCTCCCTGCTGCATGCTCATTCACTCACGGCATCACCTCCCTAACTAGCAGCCAGAGGCCACACCTAACTTAATCACAAAACAACACCACTCCCAACCGCTCCCAACCACTCCAGGCGAGCCCCAGGTCGCACCTTCTCTTCAAACTGCTGCATGAGCGAGCGCTGCTCCACCTCCAGGTACTTGTCCTTGTGCTCCGCGAATATGCCCTCCACCGTGCCTGGTGGGGGGAGGGGGAGGGAGGAACGAGGGGTGGCGATAGGGAGTAGGAGGCTTGATGAGACGCATTGGCACATGCTTGCTGCTCCACCTCCAGGTACTTGTCCTTGTGCTCCGCGAATATGCCCTCCACCGTGCCTGGTGGTGGGGGGGCTTGGGGGGGAGGGGAGTGCGAGAGTGGAGGAGGAGGTGTGAGCAAGTAAACTATCAAGGTTACACGACCACAGAAGACATGTATGCAGAGAAACATATCTGTCTGCCCTACAGCTGCTGATGGACTTTTGGAAGTCAACTCAACTCAACATCTGCCATGCCTGTCCGTGCAAAGAAATACTTAATGATAAAAAACCACTTCAACACGAATCACATCACCCCGTACAAGCCACAAAACAATTGAGGGGCCCTCTTTTGAGACGTCTCAAAAACTGAGGACCGCTCAGCCCTCGCCCCTGCGGTAAAACGAATGGGGCACCCCTCATCCCTTACTCCTCATCACTCACCCCTTTCGACTTCCACCTCACCCCTTCCCCCTTCCCCTTACCCCTCATCCTTTACCTTTCCCCTCGCCCGTCGCCCCTTGCCCCTTCCCCCTTCCCCTTCACCGCTTGAACTTCCTCTCGGCCATACCTTGGATATCAAGGTCCCCGCAGCCCAGGTCCTGCAGGCGCTTCGATAGGTCCACTGTCTTCTCGTATGAGAGAGCCAGTGTGCGCAGGTACTGGGAGGAAGAGAGGGGGATGGGGAGGGGAAGAGGGAGGCGGAGGAGAGGAGGGAAAGAAAGGGGGTGGTGGGGGGCGAAAGAGGGAAGGATGGATAGAGGGAAAGGGGGAGAAGGCGAGGAGCGGAGGGGGGAGGGGGGCACAGAGGGCAGAGCGCGGAGGCAAGGCGGGTAGCAGCAACAGAGAGCGAGAGAGGCACATGCAGGGGAGCGCAGCGCAGCGCGGGCACACGTACGGTAAGGAGGCCGCCCTGCTTGAGCGGCGGGGGGTTGTCGATGTTGGGCGTCTTGAGGATCTCTATGAGCACGTTGTGCACGCGCTGCTCCAACACTCGCTGTGTGAGGATGGCCATGACCGCCTTGGGGTTGGGGAACACCTGCTCCACCGTCTGCTGCTCCTCCTCCATCGTGTCTGGTGAGTTGGTTTGGGTGAAAGAGGCAGGGGGGAAGAGGGGAGAGGGGGAAGGTGAGAGGGGCGCGGATGGTAAAACTTGCTGAGGGATCTCTACTCAGGCTGCTATCGTGAAGCACATGGCAACGTCGAGCAAATCATCGCAACAACCCATCCCACCCACCCCACCCCACCCTACCCCATCCCACACTGCCACCCACCGTAGATCTGCTTGTAGAGGTTCCCGAGGCCGCGCGTGGGGTTGACGGGGCCGATGACGTTGGCGATGCTGGAGCCGGTCTCGCCCGTGGCGATGCGGATGTCGTTGCGCATCTTCTCCACGTCCATGAACATGGGGCGCGTCGTCACGTACCGGTGGATCGCCCTGCTGCCCTGCTGGAACTGTTGTTGCCCACGGGGACACGGGGGGTGGGTGGGTGGGTGGGCGGGGAGGGAAAAGAGTGGCGGAGGTGAGGTGTGAAGTAAAAGGGGGGATCCACCATGTGTACGAAGAGAGAAAACCAGCAAGAACAAGAAAGAAAAAAAAATGAAGAGGCGGTGTGATATTTCTGAGCAGCCATTCACGAGCAGCTATGAAAGGCAGGCATACAGCACGGTATGTACCTGTTCGAGGGTCTTAGCACAGTCCGCCATTGACTTGAGGTCCTTCTTTGCCGATGCTGCATCGAACTTCTGCAACAGCTTGTTCTCCAGATCTGCACTCCGCCACCCCCACCGCCACCCGCAGTGCACATAGGCAGGGGTTTCTTATTACGGTGCAGGAAGAATGCGCATAGACAGTAGATTGCGAAAGCACTGCACGCTGCTGTGGCGCACAACAGCAACAGCAGCGGTGGTGGCGGCAGCAGCAGCGCGTGAGAGCAATGGAGAAGCGCAGCAGCAGTGGGAGCAGTGGAGCACTCATGGCAGCGTAGACAAGCGAGGGGGCAGCGGGAGAAACAGTGCAGCACAGAGCACCGCACACAGCAGTGACGGCACCGCACAACACAGCGCAGAGCAGGGTGCGCACCGTTGCAGTACTCGTGCAGGTTGTCCACCGCCACCTCGAGCCTAGAGTAGAGCAGAACACAGAACAGCACAGCACACGGCACAGCACATAGCAGCACACAGCACCGAGCAGAGCAGGGCACACACCGTTGCAGTACTCGTGCAGGTTGTCCACCGCCACCTCGAGCCCAGAGCAGAGCAGAACACAGAACAGCACAGCACACGGCACAGCACATAGCAGCGCACAGCACCGAGCAGAGCGGGGTACACACCGTTGCAGTACTCGTGCAGGTTGTCCACCGCCACCTCGAGGCTCCAGGCCAGGGCTGGCACTGGGACCACCCTTGCGCTTTTCGAGGCGCCTAGAAAATCACGTCACTACGCACCGTTGCAGTACTCGTGCAGGTTGTCCACAGCCACTTCGAGCCCAGGGCTCGCACTGGGGCCGCCCTTGCGCCCCTCCCCTGGCACCACCTCTCTCGCATCCTCGTCCTCCTCCGCCAATGCCCCTGCACAGTGCAGCAGGAGCAGTAGGGTTGCACAAGCGGGTGGAGAGATTGGGGTGGGAAGGGAAGGGGGGTCAGGGAAAAGGGCGAATGGTCCTATTCTGGTACCATCTCATACGTGCGAATGGTCCTATTCTGGTACCATCTCATACGTACGAATGGTCCTATTCTGGTACCATCTCATACGTGCGAATGGTCCTATTTCTAGGGAAGACAGGTGGGAGGGGGGGGGTCAGGAGGGAAGGGGAGCCGGTTAAGAGGCTGAGAGAAAAGCGAACGGAAAATAACAAAGAGGCTGGAAGCAAAACACGGTAGGCGAGTGACACAAAGAGAAGGGCGGAGGCCATGCGTAACAGTGAGACGTGCAAAGGGAAAAGGAGGAGGAGGATGGGAAGGGCGGGAGAAGGGGAGAAGGGGAGAAGGGAGGGCGTGGGTAAGGGCGAGCCGTGTAACTGGGAAAAGGGGGGGTTGGGGCGGACGGGGGTAAAGGGGGGAAGGAGGATGGGAAGGGCGAATGGCGAATAGGGAAGGGAGAATGGGGGGAGCGCAGCGGGGCGGGCAAGGGCGAGGAGAGGGGATTACTGAGTTTCATGGCGAAGGCAGCAGCGCGGCCCATCTCCTTCTCGTCCAGGAAGACAGCAGCGAGCGGCAGGAACTGCACTGACTCGCCCCGGCTGCGATTGAAATCCATGAGATACTGGTTGGCGGTTGCACAAGGGAGAGCGGGCGGGGGGGCGTGGGAAGGGGGAGGAATTTGGGGGGGATAGGCAGGGGGAAGACGACGGGAGGGGAAGGACACGCACGTGGAGGGTTGGGAGGTGAGAGAGAGGGTGGGGGATGGAGGGGTTGAGGCAGGGAGTGATAGTGAGGGGGTTGCAGGGGGTAGAGGAAGGATGGAAGACAGCAGGAGATGGAAGGGCGATTCGGTGAGAAGTGCAATGCAGTGCAGTGCAGTGCAGCGCGGTACAGTACAATCCAGTGCGTACCTTGATGAGTTCCATGATGTTGGATGCGGTCTCTCGCTGTGCATCAGCGCTCTGCCATGGGAACAAGGGGAAGAAGCGGGCACGGGGAAAAGACTCGGTCGGTTGATTTAGGGAAACGGCAGACATCGCACGAGATTGGTCGGATTCTTACCATGCAGAGTGCACAGGACAGCGGCACAGGCAGACACGCCAATACAAACACGCAGACACGCACACACACGCACGCATGTGCGCACACACACACACCTCCACACTTACATGCGCGCACCCACCCAGCCACACACACCCGCACAGGCACCCACCTGCAGGTGGTCACCGATACGAGCAGCCGTCTGCCCTACACCCGAGATGCGTGCATCGAGACGGCCAAAGCTGTCAAACAGCCCCTCCACTCCCCGCTCCAGCTGCACCCCATGCACCATGCCATGTGAGGGACGCGGCGGACAGAACCACACAGCAGGGGAATCAGTTTGAGACAAGGCATGGCATGGCACGACAGCCACAGCATACAGCGATGCAGTGAGGCATCAGCGGTGCAAGCCCCAGAGACAAGGCAAGGCATGGCATGGAGTTACGTGGCATATGGCAGGCACGGCACGGCATGGCAAGGCATGGCAGGCATGGTACGGCACGGCACAGCAGGGCATGGCAGGGCGAGCGCGCACCTTGCCGAGCGTCTCCTTGTGCTCGCTGTCCTGTGCCGCCACGTCCTTGCGCAGCCTCTCCAACCGATCGTCCACCTGCCCTCCCATGCATGGTTCAAGGGGACGCGGAGAAGGGGGGGAGAGGGAAGGAGAGGGAAGGAGAGGGGGGGGGGGGGGGAAGGGGGAACCGGAAGGTAGGGTTGGGAAGAAAGGAGGTGCAAGGGAGATGAGGGAAGATGATGGTAACAGCACAGGTGAGAGGCGAGAAGGGAGGCGAACCTTGAGTGAGAGGCTCTTTACTGAGACCACACGCTCAGCATAAAAACTGTGCAAAGTCAAAACCGTACAGCATCAGGAAGGGAGAACCGAAGACGGAAACCCAAGCGCCCCTCTACGCCACACCCCCCCCTGCATCACCCCCATCCCCATGCCCCCCAACACCCCCCCACCTCGCGCCCACTTCCACCCAGTCCTCTTCACCTCTCCCGATCCCCCCCACGAGCAAAACAGAACAAAAGGCGGACTGAAAGCTCACCCGGCGGTTGAGCTCGAGCAGCTCTCTGCGGCTTTTACGGAAGAGCGGCAGCAGGAGCAGCGCCTCTGCCTCGGGGAGGATTTCTGAGTGCACCTCGACTCGACTCAATACTCACCCGTTTTTAAGTCGACTAAAAAGCAGACTCAGAGCTCACCCGGCGGTTGAGCTCGAGCAGCTCTCGGCGGGACTCGCGGAAGCGCGGCAGCAGGGCCTCTGCCTCGGGGAAGCCCACGGGGCCGGATGACGGGTCGGACGACGGCAGCCCGTCGTCAGCTGGGATGCTGGGCAGGAACTCGCCCGCTAGCGTGTTGAAGAAATCGTCGAAGGAGAATGCGCCCTGGTCATGCGCGGGGAGTGGGGGCGCGGACAGGCAGGAAAGGGGAGCGGACATGAGTGGGGTGGGGGAGGGGTGGAGGGGGGGGAAACGCCAAGCTCGACAGGATGATGGGCAGGAACTCGCCCGCTAGCGTGTTGAAGAAATCGTGTAAACGAACACGCGCCCTGGTCATGCGCGGGGGTAACAGGCGGGGGGGGAAAAGGGAGGGAAGGGAGATGGGGTGGTGGGGATGGGAGAAAACAGGTGAGGGTACAGGTGGGGGGAAGGGGACAGGAGCGCCTTGTCAGGCGCCTCACACGGTGGAACCCGCCCGCTGGCGCGTGGAACAACTCGTTGCAGGGACGCAATCAGACTCCACACGTGCCCAGCGGCGGGGGAAAAAGTGAACCCTAGACGTGGCTCTTATGGGAAAAGGGGAGTGATGAGCAGGTGTGGCGTGAGAGCCGTGCGCGCGGGTGCAGAGGGCGGACGGTTGGTTCTGCGGGAGGACGAAAGTCCTAGCAGCAGACCAAAAGAAAAAAAGTATCCGGTTTGTGTGTTGCCAGTTGCCAAGGTGTGTCACGTTCACTTTTCATCGTGGTGTGCGGTGCAGATAGACTGATGAGAGGGAGCAGAGCAGGAAATAGACTAACGGCAACAAATGCCTGGCGCGGGGGCACGACCAGACCCACATGCGCGCGACGCACCTTGGGGCCCGCCCGCCCCGCCCCGCCCCGCGGCCTGCCTGGTAACATTCAACCCCACTCGCCTCTCTCCCCGAGAAAACACGAACGACACGCATGCGCAGGCGCACGCACACGCGCACGCGCACGCGCACGAGCACGAGCAAACGCAGCGCGCCTTGACGATGATGTAGGCGCCAACAATTTCCCCCGCTCCCCGCCTGCTCCCCCCAACACGCACTCTGGCACGCGCAAGCACACGCACACGCACACGCGCAGCGCACCTTGAAGTCGTTAAGATCGAAGCTGACGGGCGGCGGGCCGGCGGGAGCGGGCGGAGCGGCGGCGCGTTCAGCGGAACCTGCGGCGGCATGGCCTCTTGTGCGGCGAGGGGCTGTGGCGCTGGCCGTTGATGCCTTGGTATAACCCGGATCCTGTGCAGGAAAGAGAAGAGAGGGGGAGAGGGAGAGAGGGCGAGAGCGAGAGTGAGAGAGGGAGAGGGAGGGAGAGAGGGCGAGAGCGAGAGTGAGAGAGGGAGAGGGAGGGAGAGAGAGAGAGAGAGCGAGAGTGAGAGAGGGAGAGGGAGGGAGAGGGAGAGAGAGAGAGAGAGAGAGAGAGAGAGAGAGATAGAGAGAGAGAGAGAGAGAGAGAGAGAGAGAGAGAGAGAGAGAGAGAGAGAGAGAGAGAGGAAAGGGAGGAGGAGGGAGGAGGTATAGGGCATGAAGGGAGGATGAGGTGGATATGGCTGGCTTGAGGTTGGTCGGCACAAATTTCTGAGAAATGTGGTGAAATGACGACGATATGGACAATACAACGACCGAGGAGATCCCACGGCCTTGGAGAAAATGGGAGAGACGCGCGCATTGGCGGATAGGAGGAAACCATGTAGAAACGCGAGTTGGTTCTGGGAGATAGTCTTTAGGCTGGCACCATAAACGTTCAATGCAACGGAAGAACAAGGCTAAATTGCGTTTCAAAAAATAAGGAGTACAACCCAGTCGATAACGATGCTTTGCGAATAAAGCGTTGTCGCATTCCTAGCAATTTCTAGAAACTACTGGCATGCGACGGATTGCCTTGCGACAAATAGAAGTAGGAATATAGCGGAGACTGTGCGGGACTATGGGTCATAGGTTGTGTGTACAATAATGACCAGGAAGGGAGCGAACAAAGAATCGCGATGCTCGCAGATCTTGGTAAACAAAACTACAGGAAATGGCTGATCGCAACACGGGAGACGGGATCAGCGACCGAAGAACCCAAAGGATGTATATAAGTAATAGGGGAAATAACTTGGCTTACCCTCCTGTATTTAGACTCCTTATCCATTCGAGCCTCCCTTTTCTAGGAACACCAGGTAGCAGAGGACTAAGAAGAAAACCTGGTGAGCGTCAACATCTCTAATTGGCGGGAGACTAGTAAGTCACTGACTAAGATCGACGCAAAACGGGAAGTCTGGAAAAGGACAGTGAGACGGCAGCGTGCTAAGATAACAATGAAGGCAAAGCTGACAGCTTGGCATGCCTGCCTGTAGGGAATCACGACGACATGTAACGAAGTCGAGTTTGAAATCAAGGCCAGGCGAAACACAAGCAGGCAGATGTGGCGGACGTGGGAGAGTTGAACGACCGTAGCGAGTATGGCACCCCGATTCCCTCGCCAAGAAGGGTATGTGAAATGCAAGGTAGCTACATGTTACGAGTGCAATTGAGTGAACGAACGAGAATTGCACAACTGAAGCAAGAGTACAATGAGCGAAGGCATGAGCGAAGAATATATAGCAAAACTATAGTGGTAACGGTAATGGACTGTGGTTGTCGCGCGACGGGCCTGGGACTGAGGTTGGGAAAAAGTGTCGAAGCGGAGGCCCAGAGCGCGGGTTACCCGCCGAGCCGTGAGGTCGGGGTGCGATGTGCGAAAGTGGCGGGCGGATTGTCGATGCGAGGGTTGCGAGTAGTAACGGTGCTGACTGTGGTGCTACACTGATGTACGCGTTGAGCAGTGATGCGAAGTAAGGAAAATGAATTTTCCTTACACTACCCCCCCCCCCCCTAAGGAGGTCCTCCTTACGAAAGTGCGTGTACATCCCTGAAAATTCGGCTGCGCAGATACTTGGTAAGGACGGGGTGGTTTTCGATTCTGTCCAGGGGAACCCAGTTGTCTTCGGTGGGTGTACGGTCCTTCCAACGGAGTAAGAACTCGATCCTTCGGGCTCCTCGAGGGTCGCATACTTTGTGACTCTCGATTTTCTCGGGGGTGATGATTGTTTCAGTTGGTGGTCTTGTCATGCTGGTTGGGCGATTGCGTCGCAGTTGGCTCGTGGACGGGACGTAAGGGCGAAGTAGGCTGACGTGGAATGAGGGGCTGACGTACCAGTCAGCAGGGAGGAGGAGGTGGGCGGTGACGGGTGTAAGCATGTGGCTTATGCGAAATGGCCCCCAGTATCGGGGGCGGAGTTTCGGGGTGATGGGTAGTCGGAGATTCTGAGTGTGAAGTAAAACTAAGTCGTCGGTCTGGTAAGTGACAGGTCTGCGGTGGCGGTCGGCGTTGCGTTTAGCGATGATGTTCAATTTTTTTATTGCGTCTACTGCCCGGGTCCGTGCTGCTTGTAATATTTCGGCTAACTGTTATACTCGTGGTACAGGGTTGTCGGGATTCGGGGTCATGGGTACTGTCGGGTCTTGTCCGTAGTTTAGGTAAAATGGTGACTGTTAGGTCATGGCGGATGGCGAGTTGTTGTACGCGAATTCGATTAGTGGCAGTTGCTGTTCCCACGTGGTCAGGTCGTCACACGTGGCCCTGATGAGCTGTTCCATGGTCTGATTTGTCCATTCTGTCTGTCCGTCGGTTTCGGGGTGGTATGATGAACTGAACTGCAGTCGCGTGCCGAATTGCTGCCACAGGTTCCGCCAGAAGTTGCTGGTGAATTTCGTGTCGCGGTCGCTGATGATCGCGGCTAGTATCCCGTGCAGTCGAACGACGGTGGAGATGTCGAGGCGTGTTGTTTCTTCGGCTGTGATTGGTTTTTTGCAGGCTGCGAAATGTGCCATTTTCGTCAGTCAATTGACGACGACCAGGATCGCGTCGTTCCCACTCGCCCCAGCTGGTAACCCCGTGACGAAGTCCATCGTCACCTGCTGCCAAGCACGCTCTGGGGGTGGTATCAGCTGCAACTGTCCCGCTGGCCGCAGTCGTGATGATTTCATGAGCTGACAAGTGGGACACGATGCCAGGTGTCGTTGTACGTCGGTCAACATTTCGGGCCAGTAATAATACGGCTGCAGCTGCTGCCGTGTTTTTTCTACTTCGAAATGCCTAGAGGTATGTGAGAGAACGAGGAATGAATGAAAGGAGGTTCACTAGCAAGCAGTTGAGTACATATAGCAAACCCTAAATTGGGTTGTACTCACTATTGAGTACCCCACTGCAGGCTAGACGAACATAACATTCTAACACACCCCCATAGCCAAAGTGGGGTGATATCAGCACAACAAGCAAGCAAAACACAAGCTCATGGTGGATCACAATGTCACTACACAATCCGAGCACAAGTACAAAGAGCAACAGTTTGAAGTTCACAAATATAAGCAAAGCTAGAGGCTATCACCGAGGGCAAGTGTGGAGGAGGACGGACTATGAGAGAAGAGGAGGTAGTGGGCGGCAGCTGAAGCTGCTGGCACACAGCGCAACTGGAGCAACTGGCACACGGGCAACTGGAGTAATTGGCACACTGACAACTGGAGAAACTGGCACACGGGCTACTGGAGTAACTGGCTCCGCGGCTAACTCTGAGCGGCAGGAGCAACGGACTCACGGGCGACTGGAGCAACTGGCTCACGGGCGACTGGCGCAACGGGCTCATGGGCCACTGGCGCAACGGTCTCACGGGCGACTGGAGCTGCGGGCTTCACGGCGGCCACCCCCTTTCAACCTCCCCAAACTATCCCACCCCCCTTTCACACACCCCCTGCTGCACCCTAGGTTCACTCACACCCCATCCCCTAGCACCATTCCGTCGACTCCCACACACCCACCCCCCTCAGCGGTAGCTGCAGCAGTGGGAGACAAAGGAGGAGGAGGAGCAGGGGAGACGACACACCCGCCACCCCCTACTTGCCACCCCGAAACCCTAACACAGGGCAGGGCCGGGCGACGGGTAGGGAGGTTACCGGGGGGGGGGGCGATGTGCGGCCTCCCAGGGCGCCAAAACAGGCGGCAAAAGGGGCGACGCTCGCCCGCCCCCCCCCCCCCCCCCCGGGTCGCCGCCCCCCCAGGGAGCCGCGACGGGCGAAGGGAAAAGAGGGGGGGGCGGTGCACGGGTCCGCGGTGCACCGCGATAGGCGACGGAGCATGGCCGGGGCGGGGCCGGGGCAGGGTCGGGGCGGGGCCGGGGCAGGGTCGGGGCAAGGCCGGGGCAGGGCCTCGACAGGGCCGCGGCGGGCGACGGAGCAGGGCCGCGATGGGGGGCCGCGACGAGGCCGCAAAGGGGGCCGCAAGGGGCCTCGAAAGGGCGGCGACGGGGCCGCTAGGGGCGGCGACGGGGCCGCAAAGGGGCCGCGAGGGGCCTTGAGGGGCTGCGACGGGGCCGCTAGGGGCGGCGACGGGGCCGCGAAGGGGCTGCGAGGGGCCGAGAAGGGCGGCGACGGGGGGCCGCGACAGGGAGACGGGACAGGGCCAGGCGATGGGGCAGGGCCGGGGCGAGGCCGTGACGGGGCCGCGAAGGGGCCACGAAGGGGCCACGAAGGGCCGCGGCGGGCGACGGGGCAGAACGCGAAACGCGCTAAGGGCAGAAAAAAAGTTTAGCGAAGTGGTGGGCCCTAGGAAGGAAACAGTCCCAGGAGGGAACCAGCTCTGTACCATGTGAAAGAACGAGGAATGAATGGAAGGAGGTTCACTAGCAAGAAGTTGAGTACATATAGCAAACCCTAAATTGGGCTGTACTCACTATTGAGTACCCCACTGTAGGCTAGACAAACATAATATTCTGACAAGGTAACTCCGTCGTGTGCCTCCTGTAACAGTAATTCCCATAGCAGTGTATACCTAGGCACCCAAATGCGGTCAGTCCCGGTTTTTACGTAATAGACTCCCCTTGCTGCTGCGAACTGCTGCGAATTTCCTCTTGTGAAGAATGGATCCGTTTGGTACCCGTGGGTGAATAGGCCTGTCAGTAGCGGGCTTATCTGGGCGAGTAGTATTGCGTGGATCTGGGCAGTGGGGCGGGTCAGTGCGTCGGCGATGTTCGAGGCTCCCTTTTTGTAAGTGACCGTGTAGTGAAAGTTGGACTCGAGGAAATCGAGCCAACGAATCTGTCGTGGGTTGAGGTGTGGCTGTGCGCGAAGGTACTGTAATCATTTATGGTCTGTCCGTACTGTCACGTCTGCGCCAGTCAAGTAACAACGCCATTCTTTGAACGCGTGCACGATCGCAAGCATTTCGCGGTCGTGTATCGGGTAATTTTTCTCGGGCGGATGCAGTTTTCGTGACTCGTATGCGATATGCTATAGGCCATTGCCGAAATCCTGTAGCAGTACGGCTCCGATGGCGATATCGCTTGCGTCGGTAACTACTTCGAATGGGCGGTGTGGGTCGGCGATGCGCAGGACGGGCGGTGAACAGAGAACATTTTTCAGGGCAGAGAAGGCAGCATGCTCTTTCTCCCCCCACGTAAAAGCGACCCCCTTCCGCAATAAATCCGTCAGTGGGGCAATTAACCGTGCCATATCGGGGACGAACCGACGCACGCAATTAACGAACCCTAAAAAGCTCTGCAGCTCCGTGATGTTCGTCGGGGGATGCCACGCTTTTACCGTATCCAACTTCTTGGGGTCGATTTCAACTCCAGCCTCCGAAATAACGTGCCCCAAAAATTCTAACCTATCCTGGAAGAACTCGCACTTGGAACCCTTGGTCAGTAATCTTTGCTCGTCTAAAACCTTAAACACTGCTTCCAGATCTGCTAAGTGCTGCTGCTTATCCCGACTGTACACTAGGATGTCGTCGAGGTAAATTATTACACATTTATCTAAGAGCGGCCTAAATGCCTCGTTCATGGTCATCTGAAAAGTCGCCGGTGCGTTGGTCAGCCGAATGGCATCACAGTGTACTCGAACGACCCGTACCTAGTCGTGAAAGCTGTTTTGGCGCAGTCTGATGGTTCGACCCTAATCTGATGGTAACATCCCTGTAAATCGATTTTCGCAAAAACCCGTGCTGTTCGCAGTTGGTCGATCAGTTCGTCGGCGCGGGGAATGGGGTACCGCGACTTGACTGTTACCCTGTTCAGTGCTCTGTAGTCGATATGTCAGTAGAGCTACACTGTGAGATCC